TGGGACCGCCCTCCCCCCGCGCGCGATGCTGGGACTTGTAGGCTTGCGGGCCTGCAGCGCCGGCGCCTGGCCGAGTCCACAGGGGGCGCGGGAGGGGGGGAGGAACAGCCAGGCCGGCGCTGCGCACCCGCCGCCCCCGGGCTGCTCTAACTAACAGAGCACTGCAAACCTTGTGACCTGCAAGCCTGGCTATCGCAACGCAGCAAGATTAGCTAGGAGCACAGCCACCTACACAGGCTTAGCGCGCAGCTGGCAGTCCCGTGCCTGTGCTCGGGCACTAAGGGTGCGCTCACTACAGAGCCTTTCACAACAGACTTGAACCCTATTGTCCCGCTCCTGTTGAACAGGGAACGGTGTTGTCCACCACGGCAAGAATCATGTCCCAAATGTCCTGTGCTCAGATCCTCACGTAGTGTAAACTGACAGTGTAAACTACGTAACTATAGTTGGCTTTTATCCTTGGACAACATGCATGCATGGCTGGCTAATATCAGCCATGATACATTCAAGGGTCTAATTCCAAAGACCAAAGAGATTTGGATCATAAATACCTCAGAAACTGCTGCTGTCTGTCCAAGATAATGACTCAATGCAACAACTACGTCCATCAGGAATAAAAGAGCTTTTGGCAACGAGGGAAATATTTGCAGAATCAAGAAAAGCTGCTCTGCAGCTGACCTTTAGCTCCTTACTATGAGAAATGAAAATGATGATAAATTTTACCATATTCAAGGTTCAATGCAAAACCAATCTCTTCACCAAGGCTTCTTGAAATAAAGATGATAATAAAAGACAAGTGAACAAAAGCATAGGAGTTTCTGCCTTGCTTGGGAGAGACAGAACAAAGCAGAGAATGAAAACTGTTGCTGAGCTGTCAAAAATATTGCAAGGCATTTGTATTCCCTGGAACAAATATCTAGCTTGATAGTTACCCATCTGAAATTTAGCACTTCTGATTGAACTTCCTTCCCATTGCAAACAGAATGAAATGTAATGTTGTTTTCCAGTCATGTCTTTCTGATAAAGAGAACCTGAAATTCAATAATACCTGGGAATCCATGGCGGAAAATAGGAAGTATTTAGGACGGAGCTGAGGACAGAACCACAATTAATCCTAGCACAAATACTTTCAAAGGATGCCAGGAAGCAAAACAGAATAAGATCAAATAGGTCTTAATAATCGACTGAGAGTTATTGTTTCCAACAGGATTCTGGAAACACCGGAAAAGATTCAGGAAGGCATCACCACATTGGCTCTGTTTCCATTCATATTTGCAATAACACAGTTGCATCCAAAAAGGTAGAGACAAAACAAGGGGATGTAGAAACACTAGGACTATGCTGCAGAAGGGCTCAGCTTCTAGGAGAAAGAGCAGCACCCAGCATGTTGTGCTCAAGGAAAAATCCTAAAGACTGGCCTCTCATCCATAATGAATTTTTTTTTCATTCCAGCCCCTGTGGGAACTGCGATAAAGATGACCTGTGCACTTCAGTACAGAACAGAGAAACGACCTGTGCACCTTCTCCCTGGGTGTAGGACAACGGAATCTTAAATATTTTCATAAAGGAACAAAATGATATTGGGAATATCTGTTGGATCCCCCTTTTGTTTCCTGTACTTCTGGCTCAGTCTCCCTTTGTTTTCCCTGCCTGACCCACTTTCCTGCTCCATCCTCTTCAGCAGGCACTAACATAAATGTCCGAACACTGTGGGCTTAGTGGTAAATATTATCTTTGAGAAACAAAGCATCTGTTATGAAGGGCAGAGTTAAGGGCCATTACCCTGCCAACACATTGAGGATACAGGGCCCACAGGGGTAGCTGCTGCACCAGGCCATATGATGGCCAGGTTGGCTACAGTCCCATAGGTTTCTTTGCCTTCTAGGACAGATGGGAGCTTTTGAACTGATAGCGGTGCAGTGGAGCATCTCAGCTTGGTTCTTGGACCATAATAAATTATGTAGAGGAGACTCTGCTGGAAAGAAGATTTACAGTCTAGAAGGCAACGGTAAAAGAAGATGAACAAAAAAATCAGGAAGATGTGTGTGATATGTGCAGCTGGGAAAAGGAGACGGTAACAAATACAGGCCCA